AAAACCGATTTAATTTCCCAATCCCAATTGTTTTATTCAAACATCACATGAGCAACTTTGGCGCAAGTCGATTTTTGCACTCTCGCAAACAATGCCTCCTGTTCATCCAAGCGTGAACACATACCACAAAAAAACTGATACCAAATGATTTGGGATAAAACACTCTTTCATAAGATGTATAATAATTTACTGTTCATAGATGATCTTAAAAATAATTAGCAATTTTCTAGGTGTAAACTTTTTGTGACTCACACTGTAGTGGAAACGGTCCTTGATTCTCTCTCGTTCACTTAACTTTCCTTGCTTGAAGATGAATGTACGTTAAGGACCCTATCCGATGAAAATACAACTTTTTATCAATGGAAAACCGAAAGAACAAAATATTCCCCCGTTCAGTATTGCACAAAAGCGAATTAAATCCTTATTTTCTGCACCTCTCCGAATTGCAGGTCAAGGGGAGTCAAATTTGCCGGAGTTACAGTGACGGCATAATAATTACGTGTGATCCGCCTATATAGCTGATGCGATGAGTCGTGCTTAATGAATGTAAAGTCATTGTGAATATGCGTACTCCACATACGATTTTTTCTTTGTAGCATTTTTGTTTTGTATTCATTCATTCATGTCATCAATTCGATAGCTAGTTTTTAGGTCAACAACTCCCGATATCCAAATCTTTAGATTTAGAGTTTTTAAAGAGCTGTTACTCGTCTGACAGGCGGATACCGGCGCTATATAAATAACCATATTATTATTTTATTTTAAGTAGCATATAATTGGTATTTTGTAATCTATGGCTTGTAAGCTTTCCTTTGATATAGAATTCATCAATTTCATTTTCACTTCCGACAGGCTGTAGTTGGCTGTTCTGCCTATACCCCGCCTAGACCCGCCCTATCCCAATACGCAGTCAGCAGCTCTTAACAACCAAACATCTCATAAGGTCAGACTCAAACCAAGGATTCATGGATAAAAAGAACATCAACAAAACACCCGCGCTAAACGCGCATGTACAGTAGATATTCTCAGTATTATCCGCAAAACACAAAACACCACCAAAAACAGAAAACTAATCTGCACTGGCAAAAAGAATGTATACATATATTTATATATTTATATATTTATATATTTATATATTTATATATTTATATATATAATAATAATAATAGAATCAGTATTATAAGACATGCATAAATGATGACATAATAGATGCCATCAGTATAACAGAATAACAAAATACATGTAAATGCATTTAACGAGTTTTAGCAAAATTCTATACAGAAATCATAAAAACAATCTTCATTTGGTAATTTTTTGTATAAACCATCAATAAAATAATTTAACAATTCGATACATACATGATGATAAACGAACACTCAGAGAAAGATACCAAATAAAGAGGAAACTCGACAGAGGGAAAGAAAATGTTGCACCTAGGGTAAATAGATGATTTTTTTGCAAAATAATGTTTATGAATTTAGTACGATGTAAACAAAACCTAGAACAGTTGATCTATTATCTGCCAACATGTCTACTTTGAGAAAAAAAAATTATTATCACAATGATTATTTCTTCAATTGCTATACTCTATACTCATAGGCGTAGATCAAGTGATATAGAGAAGGTATATGATGCTGTGAAGGTATATCCGAATATATTTATAATATGTACACCACTATGCTCCTAAATTGATAACACTGAGATTGCAATCTTTTATAGACTATATTACTAGAATTTGGGCTTGTTCCTGGTTAACTTTGTGCACAATTCTGAAGAGCTAGAAAAATCCCTTGATTTATTGCATAATATAGGGATACGGTGTATATATCTCGTTACATGCTGAAAATCTGGCCATAACAGCTCAGTTATCACATGTGCATTAATTACTCCATGATTAAAACCATCTTTGGGATAGTTTGGTATAGTTGTGTGTACTAGTACTATGCAATGTTGGTCCCACACATAAGTTATTGCTACATGATCATATCAGTGGGGTCCATTTTGCCACGGAGTGGTCCATATATCCACCACGAAGTTGGACCCACACAAGCTACATTGTGTTACTCATTAAATCCCACTAAAAAGTATACACAGTGATCATGAAGCACTTGATTCTGGCTTAGACCATTTGATTTTCTGTCTTCTGACTTTTCCACCAAGACAGATCTTGTGCTTTTAAAATCATTCCTTTTATTATTGTTCTCAAACGGAAGGTGTACATCTCAGATGTTGAAACGAGTCACCATCTTGCATTAAAAAATAGGCAGGCCCTGTGACATGACCAGTTTGAATGATGGCAAAGTATACCAGGCAGTCCAAATTTTCATCTTCTAGGCAAAATTTGAGTAAATAATTTTCCTTTACAAACCCATACCTATATTCTGTGATGTGAAGAAGTAAGTTTTATGTTCTATCACATTGATCTTTAATTATTCAAACATCGATCTCCTTATCAGGCTAATAGTAAACTCTTGCACTTTTTCTGTCATGAAAACATTAAAAAAATGTAACCTTTGAGTACATCGATAATGCAATAGTTTTCCCTAACACTATATCACTTGATCTATTTATGAGTACGTGTATATCAGTAGAAGGCAGACAAATATATTACATTTAGTAGACTTCATTAGTTGTGATTTTCCCTCTGTTTTCAAAATAAGGTATTGTATCACAAAAGTTATAATGCTGTTTATAAACATTGCTTTAAAATATCATTGTTGAGGCTGAAGTGACTTTTACCATGATGACATAAATAAGATGACATAAATAAGATGAATTGAAACAGTCATAATGCTGTTTATGATGACATAAATGAGATGAATTGAAACAGTTATGATGCTGTTTATAAACATTGCTTTACAATATCACTGTTGAGGCTGGAGTGAGTTTTACCATGACATAAATAAGATTCACAAATAAGATAAATTGAAACAGTCATAATGCTGTTTATGATGACATAGAATAAGATATCATAAATGAGATGAATTGAAATAATTATACAAGGCTGATAGAACATAGGAAATACTGTACATTATACAGTAGGATCCCAGATAAATCCAGGAATATATACACGTATTTATTTTTCCTTTTTTTTGGAGTAAATAAATCTTTGAATAACATATTTGAATACATGTACAAATGAATATCATAAAACTTCAGAAAAAGAAATCTTGAATATAATAAACGAGGACTGAGAGCAAAACATATTAATAATAATATAATGGTAATACTATACATATGAGAACATGATAATAAAAAATGTGCAAAACCCCCCCCCCTCCCCCCCAAAAAAAAACCCTCTCCCCCCAAAAAAACACCTCTCCCCCAAAATAAACAACCTCTCCCCCCAAAAAACACCCCCTCCCCAACACCCAACCCCCCCAAAAAAAAGAACTGTAGAATAAAAACTGTCTTTATACATGTTTTGTTTGGTTTCATTGAGAAACGAAATGATGCTTTAAACTTTAATAATTTTGACTAAACAAAAATATTATTTTTCTCGAATACAAAAATCTACTCCGTCCTTCCAGACAATAAAACAACATATCATGAATATTTACATAAATGAGAGGCAGCTAGTTAGTAAACTTTCTAACAAGACTGACAAATTTGATAATATTTACACGTATTGTCACAAAACAATCCGCATGATTTTTGAGCTAAAGTAAGAAATTAATTGGTCTCGAAATTTGAAAATTTGACATTTTGCTTCGTTTGGGGGGGGGGGGGGGGGGGGGGTAAGGTCAGCTTTTTTAGGTCAGCCATTTTATTTATATATTTTTTTAATATCTTTTTTAATAAATAAAAACTAAATAAGAAAAAAAAAATCTAAGGGGGGGGGGTTAACCCCCCAACCCACCCCCCCCCCCCCTGTGTACGCGCCTGTAAGTGCCTATAACCACCCTTTACCTATGATGATTGCCCCTATTCAAATCTGAAAGGTGCCCATTTTTACTTTATCAAGTGCCCTTTTAATTTTTGATAAGTGCCCCTTCCCCTTCTAAAGGTGCCACTTCTCTCCTCTGCATGATATATGTGCCCCTTTTTATACTATGTCGGTTTCGTGGAACGCTGCATGCATCACCATTCTTTTAACACGTCGGCGAAATTTCGATTGGGCTTCTTTTAGCGACCAATAAGACTTTCGGTCAGCGACATTTGTGGTCTGCAATCTGGGGCTCGTTCCTAGAAACCAACGACAAGACAGTCATAACTTTATCCGCCAACTACGGAGATGTCTCTGATCTTCCTAAACCGTTTCACGAAGAGCTTACTAGCTAGTATCTCGTGAGATCGATATTATCGGCGAGAAGAGGAGCCGAGAATTAGCCTTAGTCGCAATACCACCAGATTATTACAAAATTAATATTAGGGAAAATGCAATTATTTAAATGAATTAGTAATAAAAAAAGATTAAAAATGATACCAAGAAATAAGAGATCCAATATACTTCCAAATTTGTGTAGATTAAACAATTGAAGTACTTGTAAAATATAATTGTGAGTTTTTCATTACATGACCAGTGAATCAGTTTTGTTGTTGAGATGGGCACCCCCCGAATATTTTCATTTAATAGTTTATAAAAATACACCCTTATATTATCCTTTGAAAAAATACGATGTAATGAAATTTGTGTTCAATATTTTTGGCGTCAGCACAATATAAAAATTACAAAACTTCAATATTTCAAACGTTAAAACATATGTTTAAACCATTCACTTTGCATAATTGAAAATAAAATTCATCTCGAAATTAATATGGGTCTGAAAACTAAAGAATACACTTCAAACTATGGCTTGCCTGCCGTGGCAAAATACATATCCCTTCGACGAGTTTACAATGTGGAAATAAAGGCGTATAATCAGTTTATTTAAGTGGGAAAATCCTTAAATACAAACATGGCATATTTTCATGAGATTATCAAATACAAAAAACGATAATTCACTGTTTAAGTGAATGTGTAGAAAAATCATAGTTGGAGGATTTATTGTCCTTTTTTGCCAGCCATAGTCTACCCAATAAATGACATGTGATGGCGCTGCCCATCGACTAAATAGTTATGACAGAGATACGACTGTGTCAGAGGTGTCATAACTCCTTAGTCAGGATGTTGTCGTTGATCTTGGCAAAGAGGGCTTGGTGAAACACGTAGCGGACAAGTTGTTCACTAACGCTGATTTAGTCAAGAAGTTAGACTTATGACGGTTTGTAGGAACGGGCCCCTGTCTGCAATGCATTTCTTCTGTACTACCGTCTTATTAGTCGCCAAAGGAGCAAGATCAAGTTCAGTCCGCCTGTCTGCTTTTCAAGACTGGCTGGTTATTATCTGTTAAAAGGAAAGGAGGTCACAAGATCTATAGGTAATATGTTCAATTTCACCGGATAATGGAAATAGTGACGGTTACTCCGGACTCTTTTTTTTCTCCTCCATATATACGCTTTTTTTTAACATTATTTTTTTGGAGATTGTTGAGCATAGTCCCATGTGTCCATATTGGTGTAAGTGAGCTATAAAAAGATAAATTCATTAATTATGTTCGTCCCACACCCACATAGATGCATTACTATCCTGGCTGTGCTATTGATTCTTAACATTTCAAACACCACTGTACAAAACTCAACTGATTTCATTAAAAATTGGTACTTTACTTTTTAGTGACGATTGATGACACCTAGTAGAATCTAACAGTTAGGTCTAGACCCTAGATCTAGATCTAGACATCTACATGTAACATTTACTAACAAAAGTTAGACGTCTAGATCTAACTAACTTAGATTCTAGGCTAGAGGTCTAGAAATCTACTACTAGGTCTAGATCTAATAGATCTAGACATAGGTCTACTAGATCTAGATCTAGATCTAGTAGTAAATTCAATTTGTTCAACTTTTCAATGTTAGAAAGAATAACTTAAAAATTCAAATTGTGAGTCCACTGTCAAACTTGCAGATCACCACATCGGCATGATTGTGTGCATTTGTGTGTTATGAGTGTATTGACTATATGTACATACATACTAGACCGAAAACTTCAGTCTCTCTAGTCGTCGGTTGTTCCACTGAGACTACGTCTGGCTCCACTAGACCTCCGATTATAGAGACTGAAGTATGGCCTATCGGGACTGTATGGGACTGTACGGAACAAATGGTTCGGTTCGACCGGACCGCGATGAATGAGATATGCAACGAGATTTTCACTCTTTACATCCTCATAACTGCTGCGATTATAATAAAAATTAAAAATAACATATATATAGCTTATTTGACTTTCGATAGCTTGCTCATTTAGATCCTAAATTAATGATTAATCCGAGAAAGTCTCGTCGTCAACATTATCCGTCTTGGTTTTAGTTGATGAATATTCATTTTTTCTTTTCGAACGTCCAATAGCTACCGTAGCTACGTACGAGTCAGCCCGGTTTGACCAACGAACTCCCACGAAACGAGTGCTCTGATTGGCCATTTGGCTATGTTTTGGTAGGTTGACCTGGAAATATTTTGGCCGCCGGGTCATATAGCCCTATGTTCGAGTGCTTGAACGTACTGTTGCACAGTTCTGAGATACAAATTGGATAATTCATATAAGTAAGTCCGTAAATTATACATTTAATATTAAGTTATCAAATTTTGATAACTGCAATTAGGACAAATGACATACCGACCTAATTTACATCTGATTTAGAAATCAGAAAATTAGATCTAAATAAAGAAAATCGGGGAGAAAATGTTTTGAATGAAAAGATGTACATTGTTGGCTCTAGCTACCCCCACGGTACGAGATCTCTGGGTTACCATCTGTATTGGGGAATGTCAACAAATGTCAGTTTTATTAAAGAAATGACCCAAATCAGATGGTTATTTCTGTCTACATACATACATACATACATACATATTGGTATTTATTTAGCGCCTTTACATGAACATGCTTAAGGCGCTTCACATTTTAAAATACAAACATAATAGTTATATACTCTCCAAGTGCATTACACTCTAAAAAATGACAATTACAAATAAAACAAATGAGTTATTAAACGTCTCTTAAATGATGCGACTGAGGTGCAAGAACGAATGCTTAAAGGGAGACTTCCAAATGGTGGGACCAGAAAAAATTATATTTTGTTGACCCTTCTTCGAATTGATGCGGGGGATTTGCAGAAGAAGGGGGTATTCAAATGCTGCCTATTAAGACGTAGTGCAGTGCTAGAGGTCAATATACATTAGAATTGACTCTCTAGTCACGTCTCTACTCTGCTTTGCTGGAGTGACTAGATATAGATCTATGTCTACATCCAGATGTCAAGCTCAAAGGAAAAAAGATTGCCCTTGACACGCCCCTATTTGATTCTTATAGAGGTGAAGCGGGAATGGTCGCTGAGCAGATAAAATGATATAAAACCAATCTCCACTTACCGACTTTATGCGTGTTGAGAAACTGCAATGAATCCTCCAAAATAATATACACAGTTCCAAATATTGCACCTTTTCCAAATGGCTCACAACAAAATCACCACAGATAAACTTAACTTGGCTAGCACAAGCGATTGTTCTCTGGGTGAATGATAGAGAAATGATATATAAATGATGATCCTCCAAATGAATTGCCGGAGATAGATTTGTTCCAAGTGTATGCAGGAACAAAGTATGAAGATGTTCTTGAATTGACGTGTTGCTTCGATGAAGATTTTTGAGAAGTCGTGTAGAGAAGAGAGTTAGAGAGAAGATGTTGTTTTCAATTTCAATTCAATTCATATTTATTTCATTTCCAACAGAAAGGTAAACGAAGATAGACTATTATATTTTTTTCATACAAAAACATAGACTCATTTTTTCTGGAAACTATACAAAAACACTTTGCACATAATAAAATTATTACAAGACATGCATTCTTAATTTATGAGGAAATGGGGGAGATCCACTAAAAAGCAGTGCTTGTAGTTCGTGGATCCCCCCCAAAAAAATATATAATTGTTTCAAATTTTGCCTACGAAGACTTGGAAAACACAAGACAATATTACAAAACAAGTCGAGTGGATACATCGCCGAACTAACGATCACAAGGTCCGCTGTTTACATGTAAGTCCCGCCGCAGCGTTGATGTCCTTAGGCAAGACATTGTTCTACATTTGCCACACTCCACCCAGGTAAAGTATAAATGGGAACCTGGTAGGGATTTATTCCTTGAAAAGCAGCACGTGTGCCAGCTACACTGCTAAAGCCAGGATAGACCTAATTATGCTGCTTTATTGTCGAGCGCTTAGAGACTTCTGATAAAGTAGGTATTAGGCGCTATATAAGCAAATAGAATTATCATTATTATTTCGAATGAACTAGATGACTCAAGTCAATACAGAACCTCTCACAGTCTCACCTGCTTTGCTCACATTCAGAGAATTAAATGTGATGTTACAAAGCACATATCATTATCAAGTAACACACATTGAGCCACTCCAGCAAAGCATAGCGAGTCGATGCTAATGCGTATTGACCTCCAGCACTGCACTACGTGTTAATAGGCAGAATTGCACTCACGAATAGTCCATACACACATAAATGCACGCAATAAAGACGATGTGGCTGATCGACAAGTTTGACAGTTAATTTACAATTTGATTTTGAAATTACTCTTTCTAACATCGGTAAGTTAAAAAAATGTATTTTACTGCTATTTAGGTGTCATCAATTGTCACTAAAGTACCGATTTTGAGTGAAATCAGTTGAGTTTTGTAAAGTGGTGTTTCAAATGTTGAGAATCAATGGCACAGGTTTTAATACACAGCCAGGATAGTAATGCAGCTAGATGTATGTGTGCATTGAGCAGGGACTTGTTATAAGTATTGATTCCTGTTTATTTTGTTTACAGGTGGATGTTAATTCAGTACCAGTACCACTATACATGTGGATCTTTATGCTGATGAAAACTTTGGAGGAAAAATAGACAAATAACCTTGGAGAAGATGAGGTTCACTGGTGCCCCAGCTGTCGTTTGGATATTTCTATTTGTAATAACACACAGAGTACACTGCAAGACAACACTGGGTGTTTTCAATTCTCTGCAAGCTGCAAAGGCCAAAGGACTCTTCGTTACAGAATTCTGTTTCACAGGTACAAAATCGAATCATTGATTGAAGATCCTGGATTTATGCTGGTACATGATGTTGGCTTGCATATTTTGGTGTACCTGTACAAGGTACATTTAAGTGATTGGGGGGAAAATCAATCAAATCTATATAAATGACTAAAAATTACTTACAAATTTATTCATTAATTGTTTTTGTATCATTATTATTATTACTATTATTATTATTATTATTATTATTATTATTATTATTATTATTATTTTATATTTATTATTTATATATTTATTTTAATTCATTTATTTTTCTTTTTTTTTGTGTGTGGGGGGGGGGGGGGGATAGTACTATTGACTTTGCTGATTAATCAAAAACAATGTTCTTATTTTGTCATAACCCTCGAAACCTTCAAGGCTTGCAGTGAAAATGCTATTCTGCAATTGTACTGCCATAACACATGTATATGAATGAATATTTATTTGTTCTGAGACTAGTTTTTCTTTCATATTGAAATTCAAAATGGGTTCATAAATGTGTGATGCAGTTTGATGCCATGGAATATGTTTGTGAAGCATACCAGTTTGTAAACTTGGGGTCAAGTAAGAATTAGAATTGAATTACTTTATAGTGAATAAATATTATTTTGTAATAATCTTAAAGTGATCTAGATTACATTCATGACAACCTATTATTCCCATTTATTTAGATACCACAGGAGGACTGAATTACACCTTGAATGCCACAACTCCAGGAGGCAAACTTTATTTCTACTCAAAGCAGAGCTGGGCTGAAGCAGAAAGCAACACAGATTGTGCACATAAGTTTATCAAGGCTGAATATAGTGGTGAGATGTAGAAATTAAATCGTAATCTGATGATTTTGGGCAAGGCCAAGGCATTTTGTCCCATAGTATACAAATAATACACAGCAGCGAGGGCATTAGTAAGAATTTCCCACACAAGGTACCTTTGGAACACGCCTAACGTCTAACACGCCCGAGTTGATAGCCGAGGGTGTTTGGACTGTTTTGAAGGTACAGAGTGTGGGTGATACTAATTTTACTAATGCCCGAACAAAATGATGTGTATTATTTGTTTTATAAGATTATGTTTTATTTGTTTTATAAAATTATGTTTTACAACATAATTTTACTAATGACCGATCTTTATCATTTGATAATGACCGGTTGTTATAAAAATTACGTCTTTGGCCAAATAAATGCCTGGTCACGTGTAGGCTCTTAACCATTTGTTTGATTAGGATCCACGTTATCATCTTATAATATCCATTAATGACACCACATTTTCTCGTATACCATAAATCTTACTTTCATTTATTTATTTATTCAATAATTTATTTATATATTTATTCATTGCAATCAAACCTTTGATTTCAAATACAAATAATAGCCCAAAGCAATACGTAACAAACTTGCAGTGTTAGTGTTTACATGATAAACTTATTAAAGTGTGTGGCACATTGAAGAGAAAATCCAGCCTTGAAAGCAAATTACATTAGAGAACTGCAGGAAAATCAAAAAAGTGGACGGGTGAAGTTTGAATGAAGTCATACCCCAAGAAATGAGAAGGTTATAAATTGTTAAAAGTTGTAGTCATTATAGGTGTGGTCTCTGTGATGTAGTGGAGGACAACTTTCCAATTTTTTTTCCAATACACAAAATGGTTATATTACAATTTTTCCCCCAAAATGTATGAATCTGGAGGGTCTTTTTCTTGAGAGGAACTATGATAATATGTTGTCCACAGTGTTATAGCTAGAGATTTTTTAGTGGTGGGGGCGACTTCATCAACACCATTTAAATCTTAAATCCAAATTTGCTTTCATATAAATGAATGTACATGTATTACAAGGCCCAAGTAAATTAGATGCTAGAACTAGATGTCAGTAATATTCCATAAAAAATAAAAACTAGGTGAGGTTGGTATATTTTTAGCAAGTTAGGATCAAATAATAAAGAGAGCATAGATCTATGTTAAAAATGACTTAGATTTATAATAAACGTTAAAGTTGATTAGGAGTGGTGGTACTAATATTCGTCTTTCTCGACGGTTTTTCGTTGTAATATGCACCACATTTTATTTACATCATCTCTAATATTAACTGTAGATATCATTCTTTATATTATTAAGTTGATCATGTCAAATTTATTTTAGAATTTGCCTTGTGTAGCCTTCCATTCAACAAAACGATTTGATATCTGTGTGGCCCTGCTTGACTATATTCTGTAATTTTTATTTGAAAATTTAAATGTAATCATATTTTTTTAAACAGTCAATCTGGTCCAAAAAGGAGGAAATCACACTACACTGCAGCTGAAACACGCAGGTCGCTGGCGAGTGATGTATGGAGACTCGTATACCTGTAGTCCTGTTTTACCACAAGAGAATCCAGTCTATATCAGTTATGATATTCGTCTGTTTAACTTGGATTCATTTGGCAAGCCGCTCAGTCATTTTGAATGCCAGGACAAAGGTTAGTCATAATACAGTAAATGGTGGTATTGACAACGATTCATGAAATCGATTTTTAAAAAAAGGTAATAATAACAATAACTATGATATTGTTAATGTTTATTATATTTTTGATCAATGAAATCTTGTTCAGTGATTGGTCAACAGAGCATCACGTGATCCAACATAACATTGCTATGATGTAACCGTGACGTCATCCATGGTATAGTGCACTATACCATAGCACTATACCATGGATGACGTCATAGATATGCAATCGATCAAGATCAATGTGCTATCGGTCCTGGTCGCGTTATGTCCGTCAGCGCTGCTCTCACCAGCCAGAGCACCAGTACTATACTCAACTTCAGTGTCAGTAAACATTATTATTAATATTTAATATATAAGGTTGGTTTGAAAAATATAAAACAAATATATCATGCATTATATACCTCACTTAAGAAATCCAGCCATCTGATTGGTCGAAATTGCAGTCATGGTTTTAGCCATTCCCGTTAATAAACGAAAAATGCCACGCCCATGTAATAGTTTGAGGGTAAAATTCAAGTTACATGTACGTGTGCAAAGAATTGGTTGCTAGGGCTAGCTTAATTTACCAATTTTTAATTCAGCGCAGCGCAGACGACCGTCCGTAGGCCTACGGCAATCTCGATCGTACTGAATTCCAAACAAGGCAAAAATGGCTGAAGAAACTCTCCCAAGATTTCAACTTCTTGATAATGATAAAATGCAAGACTTTATTAAATCTGAAGAACACCAAAAGGGTACGTGAAATTCTCCATAAACTTATGTTTATTTTGCGCTATATAAATATTGTATTATTATTATTATTATTATTGTGTGCTAAAACCTTCCCATAGAGATTGCACACATCTCTAGATCTATGCAGTCCAAGTGCATTGCGCACTCATGCTAAATTGGTCGATGTTTTAATTACCAAAATGAGATTCAAACCAATATTGCTCGTGATCCTGAAGGTGATACTCAATAAGTGAGGTGTCATATGAAAGAGCAGGTTTTTCTCCATATTCCCCACAGGGGCCCACCCCCCAAATTTTAAAATATCTTACTTAGAGTCAGAGTAGAAATAAACTCTCAAAGATACACTCATAAAAAACAACCGTGCAGATAAACTAGAGAAAGGCCAAGGTGGTGTCATAAGTTGACACTTTTTTTCGGCATATAAAAGTATTAATGACTGCTTTAATATTCGAGAAATAGTTGTTTTTATACGCTCTCGGGAAGGTTACAATTGGGCTATTGTAACCTTCCCTTGAGCATATAAAAACAACTATTTCTTTCAAAGCAGTCATTAATACTATACTATTTCAAGCCACTAGTGAAATTATGGATTCCTCAGCGACAGAAATAGCACTATTTTCTGAGGGACGTAGTGCTATTCCTGCCACCTCGATTCATAATTTCAACTAGAGCCTCTAAGTGCATGGTATATTTGTTTATCATACAACGCCTACTATGATTCTTGCAACCTCATTGGTCAATTCTTGATCACATGACATGCGCTAAAAGTACCATTGAACGGCATCATTTTCCAGCAGTGCAATTTTGTTTGATCCTTTCGCACCATTGCACTCTGACGTCACTAACGATGTACAAAGTATATGGTGAGCTAAGTGACGTCAGAGTGCAACGGTGCGAAAGGATCAAACGAAATTGCACTCCGTGTAACAATAAACATAAAGGTTGGTACGCGCCGTGCATGGTACGCCCGTGGTTTGCTGCCTGTTTAATAGTGCGCGCTCACTATCAGCAGTTTCATCAATTGAAAACAAACAAAAAATCGCTGAGATTTAGGCCTACGAAAACTGTTTTAAGCCCGTTAACGTCCGAGGTGTTGTATAAAACAAATAGTGAATGGTCTTTATTCGTGCAATGGAACAATATTTTGCATTCGGTGAAAGATGAGACGCTCCATTCAACTCGGCTGCGCCTCGTTGAATATAGCATCTCTTATCTTTCACCTCGTGCAAAATCTTGTACCATTGCACTCATGACCATTCACTATTTTTAAACTATCATATGAGAGGCTACAGCCTTTGCCTATATGCAATGGAGCTTCTACATTAAATTAATAAGGATGATGATAATCATGGTGATATTCATAATTCCAAATATAATGCTAATGTTAAAGTAACTTTCATTATTATGATAAATGTTATGATGATGATGTTTACATTGTAATGATAATTTTACTTGTATTGATTATTATGTTAAGAATGATTTATGAACATTGTTGCAATTATGATCATGATAATTCTAATAATCATAATGACAATAATTGTAATATTGATTAAATGGATTAAGAGTGTACATTGATTTCAATGATAATTTTTTAAATATGGTTATACTCATGATATTCAATGGTTATGATGATAATCATTATTATTATTGTAATAAGGTAGATTATGTGTACAAGTACAAGTACATGTATGTCTAGGGTATGTACAGATATGATATGTAATCTCTGAAACCAATCATGAATTGAAGTGTTTTTTAATGCTGGTGCTAGTATTTCCTTGAGATCAGAGAATGTGTAGTCACTGTAGTGTAGTGTACGGTTGACTATTAATCAGAGAAAGCATATGGAATGAAGCTTGCAGTATGCGAAATGCAACTAAAAAAAGAGTCGTGTTTGAATAAGCAAATAATTACCAAGTATACTGGGGATGGAACAAACTATCATTGCCGGCAGGCAGAGGTGGTCTTAATACTACATGTATCTTCTCCAGCTTAAGCTGAGATCACCAAGGCAATTATAGTTTGTCCAGTCATCAGAATATAGAAGACCTGCGATGATTTGCTTTATATTCCAAATACACAATACTTTTAGGTCTAGATCTAACATTAAATTGGTTAATGTTTTATACCTGATTATACAACTCACTCCCAGATCCTAATCAAATGATTGGTCATGCGCGGTCACATGTGATTCATTTACTGAGCCTATATTGCACTTGTTTTCATGAAAAGGAGTGCAATATTTTCCAGTACTATTGAACTCATTTTCAGAGCACAGTAGTGCGCGTATAGGTTAGAGCACTTAATAATGCGTGAGCATGAGCCCATCTTGGAAGGACAGTAGGCCTTCTGCCGCTTCTGGGTTACAGGAGAATGTTAATGTCCAATTTTCTAAACTTGTACATTTACCCGGTACATACACGCTATATATATCCTGTTTCTTGTTTCCTGTAAAACCCCCTTTTTCCTTGTGCTCCCTCCCCCTCTCTTGCTTTCTCTCTCCTTCTATCTCTTTACCATATTTCTTGACTCTCCCTCAATCTATCTCCACTCAACATTCTCCCACTTGCTACCTCATTTTCCTTTCAACGGCAGTAATCAGTACTTGGACAATTTAATGATTTGTCAATTGCATGTTTTGATCATACCATATGTTTATAATTAGTTACACTTTACAATTTTGTATTCAGTAATTAATATTTATTCTTTTTTTTTTTTTTTTTTTTTTTTTTGTCCAGGTCTGCTGACATACTATGAGCTTCTAACATTTGTGTATTTTGTCCTGGGTTGTATCTGTTCTCCTAAAGTATATGAAACACTCAAGAAAGGAGGGCCAATGCACGAGGTAAGTCTCATTTTATTCTTGATCATTTTGTTAAATTGATTATTGTGAAAATTGCCTTGTGCTTTATTAATTGTAACATTCATTATGTACTGTGGATGTGGATCTTAAGTCAGATGGCTCATTGAGTTTACCAAAAGCTTCAATCAATTTTACTTGATTGTTTACTCATTAATCCCCGTACTGGAGCTTTGAAAAAATACTCTTTGTGGTCTAAACATCCAACTTTGGTGGAATTAGGGATTTATGTATATACAAGTCTCCAAGTCAGCAAACCTCATGAGGTTTCATAAGGTTAATATTTATTGTCCATTTAGTGATGAACATTCATGGTGGTTCAAGGTTCCCTTAAAATATTATTTACAACAAAACCCTTTTTCCGTCAAAAGGGCCGCTTTTTTGGATGCCCCCTCTGATTGAAGGGGTGTTTGCATCAATTAAAAAAAACACCTCTGAAATATTGTGAATTATGATAAAATCTTTTGAAAAAATGAGGTGTGCTTAGTTTATGTGGTAGTGGCAGGCAACTCAAAACCTAAGCACGATATTTGACTTTGGCCCTCCACTTATATTTGCATTTGATATATCCATGTTGCATAAATAGAATGTTAACTAGATTATTCATACCCCTTGTAAATTTGATGTATTTTGGTGTTTTTTGTAACTTAAGAATGAAAAATGAAGGGTCTTTGTTGAAAACCTTAAGATTCTAGCTTTAATATGTCACATTCTCAAGAATGTAATATTAGGCAAACAACAACATTTGAAGGGACACAGGAAAATTACTTGAGATCGTCTTTGAATCCCAGAGCTGGCTTTTGAGGTTGTTGATGGAGGGTGCAGTGCTTTACGTAAGAGTAGTTAGTCATAAAAGTGAAGTCCACTCTCGGTGATTGAACAAAAAAAAAAAAGGTGTCCAATTCCCTGTGAGAATACACAGTTATGGGAGTTTAAAGCGACTCTGTAACATTGTTGAAGGTTGATAAATAAAACTGTGTAATTTTTTGATGAAATTTTACTATATTCCTACTACTGTACTAACCCTCTAACATGCAAACCATCCTGAAAAAATTCTCAAACCACAAAGATATTTATGATTTTCTTTGAAGGACTGTGCGACACCCTCTAACAGTTAATTCTCCCAGCCAATTTTGAATTTTTCCCAACTGTTTTTCCATGAAAATGAGACATCAGACAGGCTTCTAAAAATCTTTCAAATTTTAAATGTCTTGAATGGTAAATAGGGCAAATTCATTGCTTTGTGACGATTTACATTCACCTAAAATGTAATTAAATTGTAATAATATTGTTGGGAGAATTAAGGAATTGATCAGGTCAGTTTTATCCCAATTTTTATCATTAATGATAGTCTGTTTTCACTCAAACTTTCAGATTATCTTTAATTGTACATCTAGCATTGAAGTCATTACCTTAGCAACATTTTCTCTCTTTTGAACATTGTTACAAAGTCCTTAAATAGTTCAAATGATGTCTTTGTTCTTGCAGGTTATGAGCATGCTGGCCTCAGTACTGTCCTTCCAGGCTCTTGGTGCTTTCTCCATGTTACTCAATCTCTACAGATACTCCCAAGATGGTTCAGGATCTTCTCTTATGGAAAATCTAGCGGAATGTGAGTCCATCATTTATAGGACAAATGAGAAATATATTCAACTATGTGAATGAGTGCTTTTATTTTTCAATTGCTTGATCTATCTATTGAATATTTCATGTGAAGATTCTTTTTCTTTGTCAGAGTATGCATGAATCTAGTCTAAGATAATGAGAAAATTTGGCGGCATAATCATCAAGCAGAATTACTGTGACTTCAATTGGACTGTAGCATGTTTAAAATTTAAATCTTGACCTGACCTCTAGTGTTAGGTATTATATTTTGAGTATAAATGTCTAACTCATTGTACATTATGATCTTACTGGGCTGTCAAGTACCAGCATCAGTGTTAGATCATGCTAGTATTAATGTGGAATTTTTTGTTTTTATTATTGAATATCTTGTAGTGTTAGACATCGTAGCTCAGTTTATGATGCTGTATATGATGGTCAGTCTGTCATTGGGATGGACATTGACTTCAACCAAGACACAACTCAATGCTCATGTATGGAAGACATCTTTATTAGCCAAGATAGCAGCAGGTATAACTGCTTTACAGGTATGTCCAAAGATAGAACCAATAATCATCCTATTTGTTTTTCAATTCAATTCAAGGCATACACAAAATAAATTGGAAGGACCCCTTAGCTTATGAGGAGGGGCGGGCCCTGTACAAATATATAAAGAAAATGAGGTTAAATTAACTGAAGGTTTATAATTATGATTGCAGCATGAGCTGAATCCAGGATTTTGTTCAGAATCTGAGACAAAGATACCAAACCTCTATATAGCAAACAATGCCTAACCGGTGACCATTGGTCTCCCATGATCCTCTTTTTCTTATGTCATTTGAGAGTTGATTTGATGAGATAACCACCTGTCAGTGACCATGAAGGGAGGTCTAATCCCTCCTGGCCAAACTAGTGCAGTGGGGCTTAAGAAGTATAAATGGATAAGATAAAGGAAGCTAAAAGTATATCCGTATTTATTGCTATTCTTTGATTGTGCAGTACCTATCATGAAGTTGCAATCTAACACCTTAGTTCTTCTTTTGTTTTCCATTGCAGTGCTTTTCTATCTTACTGGAGCAGTTTCTCTTTACCCAACACTCTGCATACCACAGTCATCAGAGTGTGTTGGGTGTAGTGACCATGTTGGGCCGGGTTTGTTTGGCCCTCATCTTTGCTCATAACCTCCATCAAGTAGTATCCAAGGAGAAGAGTATAGTCAGAAGAGAATTCTACACTAACTTTGCCAAGGTACACTCACATTAGGCCTAACAAAAAAGATCTTCTATTGCCCTTTGTGACTGACCCACAAATCTTGAAATCTACAGTCGGCTTTTAAAAAAGATTTGTTTAAATTAATTTTTTTACTGTTTTTGAGAGAAAAAAAATATATTAAAGCATTTAAAACTGAGAAATATCAGCCCAAAGAGGGAGAGGAAAAAAAAAAAAAAAAGATTTCTGCCCGACCGACCCATGTTTTGACACCTAAAGGGCAATACAACATCTTTTTTTTTAAAGGCCTTATCACATCTTCATTCTTTTAATTAAATGTAATGTTAATTGTTATTATATAATTGTGTAAAGTGGGGGCACGCTACAAGAGTCCTATCTCGCACCCCGGGGCAACGTGTCTGACACGGCCGGTTGTAGCAACTACTCCGAAGATCAAGATACAGATCTAAGGAGACACGAACGAACGGAATCTTCTGTTTGGAGCCAGAAGGGAGAAGGGCAGGAGTTCATATACTTTAACACAGAGTGAATAATGCCCTTCTGTTCTGACTCTGAACAGACAATATTATTTACATTTTAAGAGAAGTTGGGATTTAGCGATCATGGATTCATACGTTTTGTTACTTTTGTTTTGAATAGATTAGTGATATGATAACATTATGTGAGCAGCAGTGAACCAATTTGATTGATCCATTTGGGAGTTTCCTTTCTAGAACTGCTGGTGTGACAAGCTGTCAACAATCATATGTAGGTACCTGAAGTGGCTACCAATCGCAGTTGCACAATTACAGTATATATGTATACGGGAAGAAAGAAAAAGCCTGTATATTACTAAAAATATTATTATAAAACGTTCAACCAGATGTTAGCTGGGTTGTTAGCTTGACAGCAATGGGTTACTTGGAGTTTCTGCTTAATATTCATATTCAACCTGAAAAGATTGAATGATGGTCAAGTCATTGCAAACCAAAATAACTTTATACAATAACAAATTAGGAAATCACCATCTTAAAGGTAAAGACCAGTTATGGTCATGCGATTGCATTGTGAAAGAAACGTTGTGGAATCTATCAGAAAAGGTTGATCATCTGGCATCTAGCATCTGCAAGGTTCTGGAATCATCAAAATGATAAGAAATTTGGCCCATTCTTTGTAAAGTTACAAGCACTATACACAGAAAGATGTATATGGGACTACCCTATATCTCTCACAGACCATGAGAGAAACAAATTTACCAAATATATGAATTAGTAGGCGGTTTCCCTGCAAATTTTTTATCATCATGTATTAGTCTAAACATATTCTTTCACATGATTGGTAATGAGAGCTTCCATTTCATTGTTTGAAATTGGGGCGTTTCCAATACTGTTCTTTACCTTTAAGTAAATAGGTAATGAAGAGCAAATGAAAGCACATCTTTTCATTTACCTTTATGTTGTAGTTTTATGCACATGAGAAGCTCTTCCAGTGCAGTAGAATATAGTTTTGACCAATCAAACTCCATATGCGGTAGCGTATATTTAATAGTCATTGTACCACCCTTTTTAACATGTGAACGCTCTTCGATAATTAATTAGTTTTAGTTTATAGATTTTATCAAAATAAGTGTCCTGCATTTACCTTTTCTTTTTTTTCTTCAGATGTCCTTTATATGGTTCTTTGCATATCCAGTTTTAGTCTTTATTTCATTGCTGTTCTCACATTACATCAGAAAACGGGTAAGACATTTAAGTCCATGTGGCTGACATGACACCTACTATATAAACTACTCATTTTATGACAATAAAATAATTATTTATGTATATTGAACTCTTCTGTATATAAGTATTATTATTATTTAAGTATATAATAATTCTGTTGTCAAATTTTCTCAAATTGATTTTTTTTCTTCAATATGAGAACTTGTTATTTAAATTATTTGAAATGTTTTGAGTATTTCATTATAATTTTTGTTGTTGAATTATTCAAAAAATAAAAATGTGCAGTTTGATTGATCTAAAGACAAAATTGTCTTGTCCAAATTATACTCTTAGTCTACCATTGTTGTTATCTGTTGTATTGTGTTTCACAAAGATCTTTTTTTTATGTTATAATGAATAGTACTCTTACTTTCTATCTACCTTTTATCTATATCCCTTGGTTACAGTTTTTAATCATGACTATAACGTCTGTGCAAGCAACCATCGTAGTGCTACTCTATCGTCTCTTCCTCTCCCGAAGTCTTTACTGGGAAATCTCATCGTTATCTTCATCATCATCCTTACCCCTACGACTAGAGAAGAACTTCAGTATGAAAAATTATTCATCATGACATAAAGCATCCAAAAGATTAGAATCATTAGATAGATAAACATGTACTCCTATTTCTCTTGATCATGTATTATTATGAATCCTTATATAAATGGAAACATTTTATTGAGCATGAGGTTTCTTGTACCCTTCAAATGTAAGACTGCAAGTGTTTTTTTTTTTAAATCCATATATTGTAGCAAAATACAATTCTATGCTTTCTCCCTCATTTTGTGGAACTAGGGTTTACGTTTGATTCCAGCTTGTTAGGTATTGTGCGAAAGCCCTAAATATTTATTTTTGGGGAAAAATAATGGTTTATGATAAAGTTGGGTATTTTAGTATGTCATTGCACTGTATTAAAGAGAAAGTGTCTTTTCAGAATTCACGATTTTCAAGGTGTTCATATATGCACTGAGGAAAGGTTGAAATATAAGGAAAATCCCTGATTGGGGTGTGAATATATCTTAAATGTTCATATATATATATGTAAATAGAATAAAACTGTAATACATGTAATAGTTTTTGTAGAAAATAAAGAGTATTTATCACATCGTATCTTGTTTTTTCTCCCAGGCATTACTCTTGATCCATGTATTGATGTGTGCAGCTAACTAGCTAAGACATTGCAAGGAAGCATGGACACTCAATATAATGAATCTATTATCCACGATCTATCTTGCAAAAGTATTTGTTTTATCAACTGCCTGTCCATGTTTAAAACTATATTGATGGTCTTCAATATCTTTTCAGCAATTTTGATGCTTTCTCTAACCATTTTTATTTTTTTGCATACCGGTATTACATTGTGGTAGAAATGTGTGCTTTAAATTTATGTTTTTAAATCATTATACATTTTTGTCTTTATATCCTTGTGTTTGTAGATCTATAAATGTATTATTAGATTCCTGATGTTACTGTAGTAAACAATTAATAGTTACTTGCATCCTTTTAAGTCTCAATAGAATAGTGATTAGTTGACGTATTATTTTTCCTTAAATCTTGGAAATACATGTATAGTATGCTAAGAATAAGAGTGGCATCTTTTATGTGCCAGGATATTGTCAGAATGTTTTTAATTACTTTTCTGTTCATGGGTTGAAAATCTCATCCAAGAAAGGAAACTTTCTGTTATACCAAGTCATATTAAAAGCTAAAATTAAAGATGAAATCCAGCAGTGAAAGTTTGAGCAAATTCTGATTAAAAATAAGTAAGTTATGATCTTTTGTAGTTGCGATCAATCAAACACACAATGGCAACTCTGTGACATATTTTGCGAGCTCTCTCTCGTTTGCTCCGTACATAAAATGTCATAAAACTTTCATTTTTTTAGAGAGAAAAGAGAAACAAATAGATCAATGTACATCCATCTACAGATGTTAACAAAGAATACTAAATGCAGTTGCCATTTTTTGCAATTTTATTTTTCTCACAACTCTACGACTCAACCGGCCGGCTGGGAGTGAGTTCTAGTTTGTTTTGTTTTGTTTTGTTTGTCTGTTTTTTTTTTTGAGGGGGGGGGGGGGGGGGGGGGGAGGTAATGAGCTCTAGATTTTGTTTTACTCTACACCCCCCCCCCCTTTTTTTTCTTAAAGCTTAAATTAACGTTACTATCTATCAATAACATAACATATTACATACATGAAGAATAGAACAATAGAAGAAAAATAACTAAAAATAAAGGACATATCTGTTTCTCAGTTCAGTAATGTATTTGTTTCCTGTGAAAGAAAATTGACTTCCTACATTTTTTGCGTGGATAGAGCAAAGCATAGTAAACGAAAAAGGGGGACCAGCACAATTATTTTGTGTGAATAGAGTTCTTTTGTATTTGAATTAACCTTTAGTGCCAGGTGATTTATAGTAATTAAAGGCAAATCCAACCTTGTTTGCAAACTAGTCTAGATGAAAGCAAAAACATCAGAGAAGTAGACTGGTGAAAGTTGAATCTACTGACCAAACTGGCAATTTGATATTTGTATAGACTTGGTGATCTCATATTTTGAACATTCAACACTTTGTTATTATTGTTGCAATATATTTCAAACTTTCGCCATTTTGTTCTCTGATTTTCTGCTTTCGTACAAATGAACTTATTACAACGGTTGGGTTGCCTTTAAAGAGCAATCTTTCTTAACAAAACATGCAAAATGCTATGAAGACACTTATAAGAATTTAGCAGTAAAACTACACACATATATAGCTTTTTTTATAAAACTTTATTTATAATTATATATCTTTATTTAGTTAATCAGGGTCAAATGTAGGATCAATACTAATTATCTTGGTGGGGGGGGGGGGGGGGTTATATCCCCCATTACCCCTTTAAGGACCATTACTTAAATGTGAACTTCTGTGGGTATTATAGTTATGAGCTAGTACAGGTTAATTGTAATTTAAATGGTAGCTTCCAAAAACGTACATGTAGAAATGTGTGTAGTATGCTCTCAAGTACTCATGAGCGAATACATGCTGGCTGTATATTAGAAATGTACAATGTATTTAAAACATTTGACTGCAGAAATGTAAATAAAATAATAATTTGTATAGAAATGTTGTCTTCCATGTATTTGCCAAACTATGTGGTGTATATCTTTCTCATTCATTTGATCCTTGTTTTTGGTTCTGTTTTTTTTGCTAGTGCTTTAATTTGTTTATATTCTCTTCTGAATTATTTTTCTATCAAGTTTAGGCTATTTATAATTTTTCACCAGCTCATAAGAGGTCTTGATTGTATTCAGCTGTTAGTAGGACAGCTGCACTATACAATAAGCGGACAACAACGATGACATATTTTACCCGATTTGGCCATGAAGTGCGACGATAAACTTGCCATATCCCTTCATCCAACCCCCCCCCCCCTCTATCCCACCTCCTCAATAATCCAAGGACCACATCTCTCAGAAGTTGACTTCTTCATGCGAGGATTAAAGATGGTGTTTATGTCCCGTTTGAGGGGATCGAGTTGTTTCCTATGTATTAGCAATTATCTAAACGTCTGTATGTTGCAAAATATGAGTTGTATGCAGCCCTGCACATCAACAGGAATCATCGTATATTTGAATTTCACCCTACCTTTAATTGATTTTGACCACTTTTTTCTAGCATCAGGGCACATTTTATTTTATAGAATAGGCCTATGAAATCTCCTTTGTCAAGAAAAATGATTACATGTAGGTAGCGCTTACCAAAAGTGACCATGATGGCCATTTGGGGACAAAATGTGGACAAAATGACCAAAACATAGTGAGAAGGGTCAATAATCTGTGCAAAATTTCACCCCGGAACGACACATCTGAAATTTTTGTCCCATAATGCATTACGTCAAATAACAGTGGTGTCACTAGATGGCACTGGATTTTGAAAAGCGATCAACCCCCATACATGTACATTCTACAAACATCACCCTTTACAAAAAGTGTAACACTGTGCCAAGCAACATGGGAGGAAAGAACAAAAATATTGTTTAAAATTCTTTTATATGTTATTCTTATATGTATGCTGTGTATGCTGTATATGCAGCCTATACAGAATAGCTTATCAGCTTTAATATAACAAAAATATAACAAAATTCAACACAAATCACATTGGTATATATCTCATGACACATTTGTGTAATATATACTTCTTACATAATCTTTACAAGAACATGAATATGAAAAAAAATGATCTGATTATTCAAACCTAAAATGAAATCCCCTGTCACCATATAATTTTTTCTCTCAAAATCACAGATACCCATGTACTGTGTTGTTATCAGAGAAACTGAAAGATTGTATCTAAGGACCGGTACGTATCACAAAATTGCATTCAAGCATTTGCCGGTGTTCTACATTCAATTCTCGCTACCCTAAATAGGTACGAAAATCTCGAAATTCGCGAGACGAGGCAATTTTCACTCTCTCGGGTCGTCACTACAACTTCCGGTATAGAGTCCCATCCCGCTGGCGCTAGCGCCTGTGTTCGCTGTGCAGAGTTTTCACGCACGCTAAAATCGATGCCAATCAGTGTAATTTGTACAGATTATAATATGCAATGGAAAGCTTCGGGCAGAATTAGTGACTTTAGCACAAAAGGCCGTTAAACTCTACCGTGAAAGAGAGGGTTGTGATCACGAACGCCTGCACAGGAAGCTGTAATGTCGAAAAGCTATCCCATAATGCAATGCGCGTTTTCAGGATTTCCCGGATCTCGGCAGAATCGCTATTTGGGGTAGCGAGAATTGCAAGAAACTCTTAATACATTCCAGCTTCAAAATCTCAATAGATATAGTATGTCCAGTGCAGTTACACTATATCGTCTAATAAAGTAATTCCCTTTCTGCCAAATAAAAGTATTGTAAGAGTCATTTACATTATCAAGGGAATTTTTATCAAAGTTTCAAATGAAACATTTTTAGCTTATTATTCAAATGGTATGTATACCCAGACATGTAAACAGTAGTATGCATAGCATGGGTGCCTTTTTTTCTTGTTTTGTTTAACAACATATGATTGAAATTCATTAATAGAACTGAATGAAATAAAGTCATTTTTCTATCAGTGTTGTGATGAGATGGTACATGTCATTGTACATGAAGTTTGTCAAATTACAGAATACCTGCAGGACAGAGATCCTATTAGATAGTAGATACTTACAAGTAGATCATTAAATGAGTATTTCGCTCATGAAAGCCTCTCTTCCAAATACCACCCATTCCATATATACGCTAAACTTTGCATGCCAATATCTAGGAAGATCGTAAAATAAATCCATTTCTACATGCAAGTGATGTGTATATGTAGAAGACTATATATGAAAAATAAACTAGATAATTAAGCAAGTGTTTCTCTATAGGCATTTTTTAATCGATTGGGCTAGACGATTTTCGTAATGTAATCAAATGTAATGCACAAACCTTTGTTAAGTGTATCACATTATGGCTTGTCCTACCTAACATTATCAAATATATGCAATTCACATTCTGACTATTGAAATACAAGTATTTGTAACAGGTGAATAAAATCATTTGTAACAAGGCACTTAACAAAGATTTGTGCTTTAAATTTGATTACATTACGAAAATGTTATATTTTCAGAGTAGATAAACGCTATTGCACTAATAGTAAAGTCTTTTAATACTATAAATTCTCTTCATTATAGCAAACTATATAATTTTTCCTTAAATAGATTCATAAAGGAACAAGCATGTACAATGTACAGTTTTAACAAATGCTAATTTTAAATAAACTTAACCTCTTTGAAAAGAAAATGGTGCTTCCATTACAGAAGCAGAGCCTGTTTGGTTATATCTGAAAGTGGATTTCAAAATAGAACTCACATGGGAAACAGTAAATGAGACTGATCAATTTACAAACATCAGAAATGTATAAGACGGGCAAATATAGAAATGTAACACATTTCATTCATTACAGACAAAATATTGAGAAGACAAAGTTTGATATTAAAAAAAACATTACTATGTGTGACATTTACAGTGAAGTAAAAGTGGGGTATATAGTGATAAATCTTCAATTGAAAGCAGCATAACCATACTACATGTTTATATCTTGGCTCCTTTTTCGTGCCTTTTTCTTTATCATGGAAGCACTCGTCATCAATTTTACAATAACAGAAACAAAGCTTTTTATTCAAGTTAATTTTTTGGAGCGATTTGTGAAATCAGAATAATTTTCAACCGAAATGCCTGACATATGACATATTTTCTTCGACATCCTGATCCACATGTACTAACACTGATTTTGTTCACGAAGCCATACAATGCTGATACTGCAGTCCCACTCACCTAAAAACATGTAGGTTGGAATGAGGAGACAAATGATTAACTCCAATGGCATGATGAGTTGGGCTAACATGTACATGAAACGTGATCTCTAGTCTGAACATGGCTCAACAACAAATGCAAGTTGTGCATGATGCAATCCAGACAAGCATTTTGTTTTTCCTTCCATCGAAAACGTCTTCTAACCTTCGTAATATGTTCCATACATTTGCATCAGGACCGCAGTTCACAAGAGATGATTAACAAAATGTCTTTTGTTTTAAAGATGGTATGTGACCTGAGCAAGTTCTATTTCTTTGCCAGGGCAATTCCAGCTCCAACTAGACCTGCCAAGGCTACTGCAGCTCCACCTACTATTGCCATTCCAAGAAGTCCATCTGCAAATAAAATGAGAGAAAAAAAGAGATGTGCAGTATGTAATAATAACAATAATATTGGTTATGTAGCGCACATATCCACCATGCAAGGTGCTCAAGGCATTCTGAATATTACCCGGCTCTGCTAGGCTGCCCGGCGCTGATAGCATTCAAGGAATTACAGTTACTCTACATGCAGGTTGCAATTAGAAATGGGATAATTGTACAGCTTATGTTCAGCATCTACTACTCTGTGGCTAATTTCTAACACTAAAGTTCCCAACTTCTAACTTGGATAAACACTATACCTGAACCTTAACTTTTAAGTAGTCACCCAAAGAAAATTCACAACTGATAATTATGGACAAATCATATCGGGTGGAAAGATTTTCTCTTAAAAAACATGAATAATTTGCTGAAAAATCATATAGATATCATGAAAAGGCGTAAAATGCTTAGTGGCTAGCTGTGTCTCGCATGTGACGTCACAAATCTTGACACTCTACAGAGGACCGCTGAAGGCAGAAAACCTGGATCTCAAAATTAACATTTTTGAGAGATGATTACTAAGGGCCCAATATTTTGAAGAGGGAAGTTGTTATATTTGATCAATAAGGCTCCTCGTTCGCAAAGATATGAAGTTTGCATCAGTTTAAAACATATTTGATTCTTTCGGTGACTACTTTAAACCAAATCGCATCTAAAACTCTAGTCCTGTATTGTTGAGCAAATATAGCTGCATCAAAAGTTTGATCACCAATGGGGGGTAGAAGGCATTGAGGAAGGGTAAAAAGGAATGACTCAAAGAGTGCTATCTATAACATTTGGGAGAGAGAGAGGGGTAAAAAGATGGATAGAAAAAGAGGAGAGGGGGACATGTACATTAACACATACAAAGGCACAGGATAGACAAAAAGATACAAACATGAATATAAACCCCCAAAAGAGAAAAGGAGCAAGAGATACCTATAGAAGTGGTATAGGAAAAAGGGTATCGTTTTTGATCGCCATAATGAAACATCCGGCTTATTCTTGTCATAAACAAATCAAGAAAACTGACTTCAAGCCTGGCCTGAATTCATTTCTAGTGACTCATCAATCAAGTAACAACCATGCTACAAGAATTATCATACCGTAAATAAGAATATTTAGCAAATTATGATGCAAATTATGATGCAAAGTGACAAGCTTGAAGGGGACATGAAGATATGTAACCCGACTAGGACAGTATAGCCTTACATGTAGACGTACAGTATATCACCTTAATTAATGAGTCAGTTAATGATAATCTGTTCTTGTGTACATTATGTCAATGTCCCTACGTGCTTCCAAAGGGCTTTGGCAATTATCACCTACCGGTAGCTTTAGCTCCAGCAGCCCTTATGAGCGCACAGTGCATCGTGAGGAATAATCCTACCAGGTACTTATTTACCTCACCAGGGTTGAGTATTGCAACCACAGATTAATGTCTTGCCAAAGGACGCTAGTACTGTGGCAGGGATTCGAAACCCATACCTACATGTAGTGGTTCACAGTCCGCAAACTTATCCACTGGACCACGACACCTCTATATTATTACTATTAATTATATCTATTCATACTGTCGTTAGTTCCAACCAGGACACTGTACAACACACAGGTTTATACAAGTAATAAATACCTGATTTCATCTTTTTCTTTATCAACCGTTCAAGCTCTGCTCCTTGTCTGTTGTTTGGCTCTATTTGGAGAAGGCCTTGAACATACTTCAGGGATTTTGTATAGTCCTAAAACAGCATTAAAAGGAGGCAAATATAGGAGAATGGTCTGAGGTAATAAAAGATTTCATTAACAATCAATATCATTATGATATGCATGATGGGTGATCAGAAAAATCAATGCCAAATAACATACTCTACCAGATCCTGTGCATTGCAAATATTTAATTTGTAATCATTTTTTAAAGAAAACTGATTACACAACTTTATACCATGATCTTAGGCGCCTTGGATCAATTCGAGTGGCAGTCATCACGCAGCTTTATGCAACGCGGCCTAGTTTGCGTGAAAGCCACAATCGTCCGAAACCCTCTATTAAAAAAACCCGTGCGAAAATCCCGCATAAAAGAGCATACGCTCCGACTCCAGAACAGAGCTCGACCTACTCATAATGCTTTCAACTGATACCAGTTGACCGCCCTCTATAGGCCATGTAACTCTCAAACTATTCAGGAGCTGCGGAAGCGGGTGGCTGTGGCTTTTTTTTTAGTAGACACGTTTCATAAAGCTCCGAAAAAGGGTTTATAGATTGTTCGCATGCTCAGACCTCCCCCCCCCCCCCACTCTCAAAAACGCTCTGCGGCCCCTGCTATTTAGGGTCAGAATTCAGATTCCCTTCCTCAAAGGGATAACTTATTAAGAAAAATTATTTATCACACATTTATACAAGTCATACATTAATGCTTTTTCTTCCTTAATATGTTTCGCTTTGTTGTAGCTTCATTTGTCTCGTTTTCGTTTCCAAACTTCATTAATCTGTGTTGGGTTATCCTAAACAATATTTGACTTCCGGAACATTTATAAACTTATGGGCAATACGCTTGACTAATCATGAAAAGATTGTTTAATAGTTAGAAATGAATGGCGCAAAATATGAGCTTTTTTAATGAAAGCGCCGTAAAAAAAGTAACAACAACAACAGCAGCAGCCCTCATTTTTTCTTTTATCCTCAAGCAAGGTTTTTATTTCCATAATTTCAATACATATTTACATTAATAACTCAATGATTGAGTGAAACGAGTGAAACATAACATAAAAATTAAAGTATATACAACAATTCTACAAGCTTAGTATTATTTCCTTTGAATGCACAATCATGCCTAAAAAAAAATCTTACCAACGACCCAGACTAGATAATCGTTTTACGTAACATTTTATCAACAAAGAAAATGGATATTATATTTAGAGTTCAGAAATAAACAATATGGAATGAAACAATAGGAGTGATCGAGAGGAAGGAAAAAGAGAGGTAGGAGTTGAAATAAGACAAAAATAATAGAAAAAAATTGTGGGAGAGAATTCAATAAAACAATCAACTTGAAGTTCATGTGAGGAACAAAAGAAGACCAAAAGTCTATCAAAGGTTTCAAGAAGATTCAAGATTCAAGATAATTTATTGTCATGTAAAAAATACATAAAATTTGCCTTCGGACATTTAAAGGTGCTTTACATGTACATACAAATATAAATATATAAATACAGACAAAATAATTACATTTCAACATAACATTTAACAATCATCACAATTTTAGGAAAGGTTACATTAAAAGAACAAGATAAAACTGAGGAAAAGGCAGTGCAGTTTAAAAAGCTTGTTTTGTTATGTTATTGATCTCGTCCATCCAGGCACCTCCATGCCGGAACACCTCTCCCGCTAACACGCATCAACACACAGAGAAAGACACACACAACACACCCCTAAACACACCCATATACACACCCCTATGCACACCGCTTACACACACGCACAATATAATCGTACACGCCCTACACATACACACGGACACTGCAATCAACATGAGAAGTGCTCCGGCATAGAAATGCCTGGATGGAGATGATTGAGACAATAAATTATCGGGAGTATAAAATAGCTATTACGCAACGGCGACTTTGAAAGAAGAGAGAAGAGAAAGGAAGAAAGAGAGAAGAAGAGACATTCATGCAAATTACAAATTACTAAGCTGGGGTGTGGAGGGCAATGTAATGCATTTGCAGATGACTGATGAGTTATTTGTTATTTGATTTGTTTCATTTTTATTTACAAATATTATATGTTCAGTATATGATAACAAAACCAAATTATTTTATTGCAGAATTCAAATATTTGTGTTCATTATTGAAAAGGCAAGATATTTGGTTCTGACAAAAATTTAATAAGAAAGTAGTTGTTATAGGATAGATTTCCTACGAAAGAGAAATCTGCAAATGCGTTACACTGCCGTCATTAAAATTAAGTACATAAGTTTTTCCCCAGGTATATGAAATGAAAAGAATCCAACACAGTTTATACACAGGTAATAAACAAATTTAAAATAAGTGGTGAAGTGTGATGTCATCAATAATCTATGTTTTGAATTTATCAATTTTTCTTTATTTCCGAAAAAGCATCAAAAATAATGTCCTAATATTGATAACAATTGAGTATAAGTATTGGCTGAGATATGACCATCTGAATAAATATATTTCCTATAGGAACTCAGTATTATTTGCTCTGGCTCCTAATGATTTATCTCGGACATTCAATGTTGCCTTTGCCCAACTCCGCGCGTTAAACAGTAGTTTATTGAATAGACCCCTCCCCCCCCTTTTCCCCTCTCCTCTCTCTATCAAACTCGCCTTTCATGTTTGTGATTGTGATAGATTTTGAGCGAAAGAATGGTAATTAGATAAGAAAAAAGTATTAAACAGGGAAACAAGAAGATGGCTTTCATATTTAGAGTTCAGAAATAAACAATATGAGTGAGAGGGGTTGGAGAGACAGAAAGTTGGACGAAGTCTGTACTGTATTCATTATTATGATATTTGTCTCTCTAATCACCCTCCCCCCCCCCCCCCGGCACTTTTTTTTTCTTTCTGTTGTGTTTGTTTATATATTTTCGCTTATGTATAATGTCCGACGTATATTAACACCATCAATATAGCATAATAAACATTTTTTGTTAGTTTGATGCAACAGAGATTTATATTCAAAAGTCTTAATTCTTATAATTATTATAATATTCTTCTCTCCGTTCATTTTAGCTTCTTCTAAATGTTTACACTATATTTCTTAATCTCTTGATGAAATATAAACACCAGAAGCTAGTATTTAGTTGATGCAAACAAAACATTGCAGCTGATGGGTTCGAAAATCCAAAACATGAATAGACTTTCTGCTTTTTCACTGCAGATCATAACAAAGCGAATGAAAATGGGCAGACCATAGTTCAGATAATCCGGCTATTGTTTTCTATCATTGGAATAATCCACCAGCTCCATCTTCTCACGCAAACAGGCCGGTGAATGTACTGTCATTGTTGTTGTTGTTTTATTTAGGCAAGTCAGTCAGTTTATGACCACTATTGCCGAATAATATGAACAAGTTTGTTTTTAATTCTAATTTACGTATATGCACTCACATAATATGCGTGTATATTATGAATAACATATGAATAATATTTGTTTTTAAGATATATAATTATATATTACATTTTTTGGTCATGCTTTGCTTAAAATAGATTATGATTATGTCCATCATACGGACAGAATGAATTGAATGTGTATTTTCATTATATTATATTGCAAGCAAATGGCGGAATAGAAAACAATATGAAAGATGAAGATGGAAAACGACATTGGCAGATATAGACAAAGAGAGACAGACAGACAGAGAGAAGAGAGAGAGAGAGAGAGAGAGAGAGAGAGAGATGAGAGCGAAAGAGAAAGAGAGAGAGAGAAAGAGATAAGAGACAGAGAGAAAGAGAGAGAGAGAGATGAGAGAGAGAGAAAGAGAGAGAGAGAGAGATGAGAGAGAAAGAGAAAGAGAGAGAGAGAAAGATGAGAAGAAAAAAAACGTTGAAAAAAACGAAATAACGCCTTAAATGCCGATGTTGGCCTTTTTGTTGGCATTTTCGTGTTGCTTATATTACCTACAATTAGCTGGCCCATTTAATTTAATAATTAATTAATGGTCGCCGTGTTTTTTTTTAAGTGTAGCAATTGGTATCGTAATGGCTAAATTTCACACATTTTGGGGTCTAAAATTACCCCCATAGCAATTTTAGGTTCTAACAGGGCACTATAAATGTCATACATGTAGATAAGAATAAGAGCAATAACCATGCACTTTGAAGGCATTTGCGGTCTGAAAACAGAACTCAACTATCCCTTTAATACAAGCGTTACAAAATACCCGGTCATTGGATACAGTGCCCTCCTTTCGGGATACAAACACCTGAAGCTAGTATTCATATTCATATTCATATTCATATTTATTTCATTCCCAACAGAAAGGTAAACAATTACATTTGATTTCATACATAATTCATTTTTTCAAGAAACTATACAAATAAACTTTGCACATAATAAAATTATTACAAGAATTTCTTAATTTCTGAGGAAATGGGGGGGGGGGGGATCCACTAAAAACGCAGTGCTTGTAGGTTGTGGATCCCCCCCCCCCCAAAAAAAAAATAGAAATGTTTCAAATTTTGCCTACGAAGACTTAGAAAACACAAGACAATATTTCAAAACAACATACAATTTACAAACACGAAACGAACAAGGAGAAGTAAAACAGATAAGAAGGAAAGGGGAAAGGGGGGGGGGGGGGGGGGAAAGAAGAAGAAGAAGAAGAAGCAAGGACAAATCATGACCAGAAAAAGTAAGTTATAATGTTAATTTGGGGAAGGTAAGATCATAAGACCAAATAAATATTAAATTAATCAAACAGATGATGAAGACCTAAATGAAAATTAAGATGATTACCAACTGTTATCAGATTATTCTTGTATATTACTATAAGATTTGAGCAAAAATGTTTTTAGATTTTTCTTGAAAGAATTTAGGGATGGACTATTTTTAATACTTTCACTTAGAGAATTCCAAAATCTAGGACCATCATACATAAAGACTTCTTCGCTAATAAAGTTCTAAAGAATGGAAGGTGAAACTCGTTTGACCGTCTAGTTGGGTAATCATGAAATGACCGATTTAGGGGGAACATGGCATCAAATATATGTGGAAGGGTC